ACACAAAGTTGTATGAGAGGAAAATAGTTTAAGAAGACGGGATTGGTGTATAATAAATATGTTGATATTTTTGATAACCGCTTGGTTGAGGCGTTGAACACTTTGAATGAGTTGAAATAAATAAAATAAATATATTGAATGCGATTAGAACATACATAAAATGTAGAGCGAGCTTCTTTGGCACATTGCAAAGCCAGGAGTGGATCATAAGTGGTATATCTGGAAGGAAGTTCAAAGAAAAGGGGAGAGGGGGCGGGTTCAGATCTGCCTTATAAATATGGAAATTATTTTGCTATAGTATATGTTTCAAAGGGACCAAGTTCCTATTATGCTATAGATATAGGTAAGTTAGCGGTATTGCAGTGTACATACGTGTAGCATCATTCATGCAAACATTGGAGGACATATCGCACAGTATATGCAGTCATTTCAAGGTTCGGCATGGAACGTTATGATCTCAAAGAGACACAAAACGTCACAATATGGATGACGTCAAAAAAGTGAGATGTCATACTTTCTCAGTTGTCAAGGAACACTGTAGTGAAGGAAAAGGCAGCAAACATTTGGTAAGAATTTCCATAGCTTTTATTCTAAGAAATTTGTCCTTATTCTGCAAAATGAAGTAGAGAACCTGTTTCGTATCTTCCAAATGATAGAAATCGACATGTTCCGCATATTCCATTTATTAATTTTGACTTGACAATAAATAATTAAAAGGATTAAGAAAAGTGGAAGGGCGGTTGAAATGAAATTGCAAAATAAACTTTTTTTTCTTTTTTTTTGCAATGTGAGATTTTATTTTTTTTTTCTTATTTTAGAAAACATGGAGGATAAGTTACAAATACTGAAGTTCGACAAGCCGTGGTATGTTATGGTGGAAGACCATGAAATGTGTCAGGTAATTTCAAATTAAATACTACATGCACGTGTCTCATGCATTCTAACACAGAACAGTGTTTACAAACTTGGAGACTTTTTGTCGTTTAATGACGAGTGAGTGAAATAGATCACAAATGCCCAATTCAACGGTCAGTTATATTGATTAAATCAAATATAAGCGCTCGAATAACTTAGTAGACCTTATTAATTTTCACTTGATGGGTTGTAGTTAATATTAAGCTGTCCTAAGTTTTCACAATTATCATGCAGATCTTCGAAAAGTATAGAGTGGTCTTTTGACCATCACCTAACTGTTTGACGCGATGCTGCATGTCCGAAATAAATTGACAGTTTTCACTGTATGTTTACAGCTGTGTGTTTAAGAACAAAGCTTTTTTGTGAAGCAGATAGGTTCTACAGAGTACCAGTTTAGAATTGTAAATTCAATCAATTGATTAACATCAATTGTCGCATTTTCTTCATTCTAGAGCATTTTTGACGATCTTCTTGAAAAAGTGGATAGAGAGATCAAGGGCGGATCCAGAGGGGGGGTCCAGGGGGTTCACCCCCCTTTTTCGCGGACCAAAAAAATGTATACACCCCCCCCCAAAAAAAAAAATTAGAAATATGAATCAAGAAAAAAAGGAAAGAAAGAAAAAAAAAGAAAAGAAATAGAAAGTTGACGAGATTTTACCAGAAACATCATCGCTGTACGTATACAGTTTTGTTTAGAATAACTCTGAAGCTGCTTCCAGTAAGGCATGAAGATTAAACTGTCCATAATTCATAAATATTATGATAAGCTTTTACTTTTTTTATTAAGAGTTGTTTATATTGAACTAGGCTACTAGCCAAATGTTTGATTCTTAGGCTGAGTCATACACGACGGACGATTTTGAAAAAGGTCGTTTCACGTGTAACACAAATACATGTGGAAAGCTGGTTGTTCAATGTATCATGAACATTGCCATTTGGCTAACATATACAGTAATATATTGACGGTGTGACCGTTGTAGCGAGCACAGCTATAATATTATAGTACAAACTTTATGCTCTGAGTTCAAACACAAAACGGGGGGGGGCTTTTCTTTTTAATTCTCAAGCCATGAATAGATATATAACATACAGATTGAGTACAAAATTTATAAGAAGCCCTGTGATCTGAACAAACTTTGTTTATCAAATATTCAGTTCATGAAAGGGTTAGGCAGTAGAACAAGCACTGCAGCTATTTCAGTTTTTTGCATATTTTTTACAAAACACATAGGGGCCTGTTATACTATATTTATAACATAAACGTCACGTTTCAAAACTACACGTGGGGGTGGTTATGTACGTGATTATCAATTTCATTAATTTTGATACAAATACCCCAAACTATGCTTAAACTCTCAAGTTTGTGAACTGCACGGTGTAGGGGAGGGGTCTACCATTGAGTTTTATCTTCAGAGAGAGTGAGCTATTAATATTCCTTTTAAAAGGGGGAGTCCAATTTTACTTTTTTTTTCTTTCTTTTTTTTTTTACAATTTGTAGGAAAAAAAAACAGGTTGGGGTGGTTCCCTACCCTCCCCATGTAATGTACATGTATATATTTTTAAAGTAAAATAAATTCTAGATAGGCCTTCATGTGCGGATACCCCTTCCCCCAGTTATTTGGTTATGTGTGCCCACGAAATAAAAAATGCATTATCAAAAATGTATATCCTTGTAGCAAAGAGAGAATTATAACTGAAAATTAATGTTAGTAATATGCCTCTGCTGGTGGACTTTTAGTCCCCGAGGGTATTCATAAACCAAGTTTCGTCTAGTACTCCAGTGCTAGCATGAAACGGACATATAAATTTTAATGTGTCATTTTTAGAAATAAAGGACGTATCTCCCTCAGGCATAGCTCTGGTCCTTGTTAGGATTTTGGCTCATGTTCGGCACTTTCGATCCATGCTCGTAGCTTTTTATCTTTTTTTTAAGATTTCCAATAGTTTCCTTGTCCGAGCATCAGTGAAGAAGAGAGACATTATTTGTCGATATGCGCATCTGGTGCATCAAAGTTTCATACCGTTCATTTCTTATGATATAATAAATATAGAGTTTTACGATATTTCTGTTAAATCTGTCACTCCAATATAATTGACAAGAATAGTAAATGTCTAAAGTTGATAGAGCATTTCGCTACAGATATTTGGAACTCTAGGTCAGATCAGAACAGTGTGATATTGGGTTAAAATCAAACAATTGTTTTGTATTATTAGTCTCGCTTTGCTGAGAAGAGGGAGGGGTGATAGTTTACTCTCGGTCCATCTATCCACCTGTCTGTCCTTCCGATTGCGATTTTCCGGATTTTCTTTGCACTGTGCCTTGAATACACACAGAACAAGTATATTCATTACGTTTGACACACTTTTGACTGAATTATATTACTGTAAGGGGACTTTATTTTGCTAGTTTTGGGGAAACGAGTTATTAATTTTATTATATAGACTCTTACTTACCATGATTACATATTCTACTTTCTCGTCTACAATTTATTTGATGATATTTGAAAATGTAAATGTAGTATATCTCCGTTTACCGCTGAATATATCAAGTTAAAAAATTTTGGCAGCAATTCTCAGTTTTGTACAAAAACTTGAGACGCGCTGCGACAAAGGGATGGTAGCACACAAACAAAGTTGGGTGAAAATTGGGAGCGGTAGATGTTGTAAACAGTACCTAATAGGTCAAAATGTTGGACCCCCCCTTTTACAAATTCCTGGATCCGCCTATGGAGATTGCTATCAAAAACAAACTGGACGCTCTAATCACAAGCGCAGGTATTCATATGTTACATGCCTTTGTATATTTATAAATTGCATTTTGATTGGAAATATGTCGATTTGGCAATTTTGACTTTTCGATTCTGAACTTAAAAAAAATGTATGTGTTTTAAAAAAATACTTACATTAATTTTAGGAAAGGCAAAGGAGGTATGAAATTATCAAGTTTGATAGACCGTGGTGCGAAATGGTGGAGGAACCAGAAATATGCGAGGTAAGCAAGGAAAATGAACGTTTTCATCAATGTGCATTTTTTAAGTTTTAATGCTCTACCAGAAATCTTTAAGCATGCGCTCATTTGTATAAATACACCCCTTAGATATAGAATGTCAAACACTTTTAAATCGAAATTAATGTATCCAATAAGTACATCAGTGTCGGACAACAATCAATTTACTTGACTTTATTCTAGGATATACTCGATGACTTGACCACGGGAGTGGAGACAGAGGATGACACACGACATTTTAAACACGTGATGGCTACCGTTCTTGATGAGTAAAAGGTAGGTTGTCATCTGAAAATTTGCTTTAAAAACATTATCTTTTTTTTAATGGAAGCTACAAAAATCTGCAGAACTGAGAATAATGTAGTTTGTGTTCAATTAAGTGACACGAAGGCAACGAAATGCAAAGATTTCATTTTAAATAAGTTATCTTTTTTTCCTCAAAAAATTAATTCCTTCTTTTTAGTCGAAAATACCCGTTCTTCAAGAACAAGAGACGACCTCGTTAAAGAAAGATGCTTCAATGAAAGACACAAACGCTGATATAAATATAAAGAAGACAGAAGACAGATAATACTTCTAGTGTCGTAAGTCTCTCACAATTTTACCCCCCCCCCCCGCCAATAATGTAAAGCAAATATTTAGAGATTTTATTTCTTAAACTATAACATTCGAATTAATCTACTTAATCCATTTTATTTATTTCTTTATTTTATTTTCTAACTTTTTTCCCCTATTTACTTGCAGGTCACTCGTAGAACATTTTTCCAGAACATGAAGAAAAGGCTCCGCAAGATGTTCTTCAGTTGTTGTATGAAGCAAGGAGAAGACTGTGATACTTGTTAAATATCTGTTCCTGTCTTTCGAATTTGAACGTTTTGTAATTTTTTTAAGCATTTGATATCGTCCCTAAATATACACATTACCTACAAACCAAGTATTCAGTGTTGTGTTTTTTTTTTAACAGTCTGAAAATTTCTTTTCCCAGTGGATATTGTGCCATATAAGCGGTTATCCATGAATAATCTTTTTTTTCTGCAAAATCTGGTATTTAGAGCGCCGACAGAGTGAATAGGACGAGCAAAAATAATACATATATAAACTGTGAATGATGTCATCATCAGAATGTTTTTGTGGGTGTGCACAATTTTCTAATATTGTTAAAAGATTGGACACTCTAAAATGCACCTAAAAACTGATTTAAATAATAATATAGAGTGAAATATTTAAGACAATCGAAGATTTGTAGAATTGCATTAGCGTTTTGTAATTCGTATAATATGGCGGAACACCGACTTTGATAGTTATCGCAAAAGTTGTACAGTAACTGGGTCTCAATATAAATAATGTCAGTCCTACATATTTAGTTTTTGTTGACGCATACAAAGACCAATATATTGTCATTATTTTGATATTTAATTTTATTTTGAGAATATTTTTGTACATGACAAACCGCATCTCGGATCAAGACGAATTTTCAGGATATTGTAGTCAAAATGCTAAAGAAACTTTCTGAAAAGTTTGATTGTGATTGGTCCATGTACCTAGGAATTATAGATTTTATCG